TTTTTTTTTTTTTTTTTTTTTTTTTTTTTTTTTTCTTATTCTCTACCTCCTTCTTCCCTTCCCCTGTCCTTTCTTTTTTGGTTTTGTTTGTTTTGAGAGTTAGTCTCGGTGTATCTCTGTAGTTGGCCCAGACTAGCCTGGAGTGCTCAGTTCTCCTGCTTCTGCCCCCTCTAGAGCTAGGGTCACAGGGGTCAGCCCCCACATCCACATACAGGTTTTGCTCTCTGTGAAATCAGCCTAACCAAGCAGCCCAGAGAGCAGCCGATAGGGAGGGTGTCTTAGTCAGTGTTCTATTGCTGTGAAGAGACACTGCGACCATGGCAACCCTTATAAAGGAAACAGTTAATTGGGGCTGGCTTACAGGCTCAGAGGTTTAGTCCGTTATCGTCATGATGGAAAGCATGGTGCAATGTAGGCAGACACAGTGCTGGAGAAGGAGCTGAGGGTTCCACATCCAGATCCACAGGCAGCGGGAAGAGAGAGTGACGCTGGGCCTGGCTTGAGCATTTAAAACCTCAATGCTCACCCCCAATGACACACTTCCTCCAACAAGGCCACACCTACTACAACAAAGCCACACTTCTTAATTATGCCACTCCCTGTGACCTATGAGGGCCATTTCCACTCAAACCACCACAGAGGGGCTTCCTGGTCAGGATGCCCATCCTGAGACCAGCCACCTCTGATCTCTGGGCTTCATTTACACAAGGAGGATGGCTGTTTGACCGTCTCACCTCTCAGGGCAGTCATGGGAGTAAAAGAGCTAGCCACAAGAGTGACACGGTGCTCCTAGTCCTCCCCCTACCACGGGGCCTAGGCTTAACATCTTCATCTGGGATTGTTGTTCAGACATGTTGAGGAGACTTTTTTTTGCTGCCCCTGTTCTATTTGTCTTGCATCGGGTTCCTAAAGTAGCAAAGTTTGAGCCGTGGGTTCAGGAAGATGCCTGTCAGTAGCTACTTGTGTTACTGTTTTCCAAATCCATCTTGTGGGGGCTCAGTGCTGCTGCCCACTGAGAAGCTAATGCCGGGCCCACGATGTGGGTTATATGGGCTGTGGAACTGAAGCTGGGGAGTAGCCTTGCTCAGAGCGGCCCTGCCCACCAGCATATACCCTTTGCCTTTCTCAGCTGCAGAAGGCTGCCGAGCCCTGGGTCCTGAAGCATTCAGACCTGGAGAAGCAGGACAACAGCTGGAAAGAGGTGAGGGCATCGCTGCTCCCCATGCTTCATCGGCTCCAGAAAATTCCTTGCTCGTGGGAAACGTGAGAGAAGGGTGCTAACTCTGTCCCCAAAGCCACACCCTTCTTACACCTTGGGCTTCTTAGCCCCAGGATCACTGCCCTATGATTCAGACATGGGAAGGGTCCTCCACTGGGGCCGGTCTGACCATGCCTGGGAGAAACTCCCGGCTAGTTCAGTTAGACATCAACAGAAAGCAAGCCTTCATAGTAGTTGTGCGGTCTTTGGTAAGTCACTGTCAGTCTCTGGGCCCCAGTTGTCTCATTGCCCTGGCCTAGTCCTGAGTGGGGACGGTAGGGTCACGTTGGAGGAGTTCTCACGCAGGTTCAGGGGGCATTGTCCATAGAACACAGAGCTGAGTTATATACAGGCCCTTCACATCGTCCTTCCCCCTCAGGATGGCATGCTACGAAGAAAATGGGGCTAGAGAGGGCAAATGCCTATGCTGGGGATCTGAAACACAGTATTTTGCGGGGACCCACAGGGCTAGCGATGCAGTTCTGATAACTCATAGGCCCTAAGGGCTGTGTCTGTAGACCTGGGGAAATGTCACCATCTCTGTCATCGCCGTCAACTGTACAGCACTGTCACAGAATAAGTTCTAAGTCTCAGACAGTCCCTCTTTCCGTGGTCCCTCATTGCCCTCCAGGTACCAGAGCCTGGGTCACGTTGCTATTGTAAGGGATTGCTGCTGACCGCATCTTACACCCCGGAAGAGAGCGTGCACGTGTGGAGTCCTGGGCTCAACCCCCACACTGGTCTGCTGTCACCTCCCTTTCACAGACTGGTCTCCAGAGCTAACCCTTCTCGTCTCTTTCTTTGACAGACACGAAGTGAGAAGATCCATGACAAGGACGGAGTTTCTGAAGCTGAGCTTGGGGGAACCGGCTTAAAGAGGTGCTGGCCGCTCACCCCTCCCCCAGTCCTGGCCCCACCCTGCAGCTCTGGCCCCAGACCCGTGGACCTTTGGCTTTGAGTGTCTTCACTCCCCGGTCCCATGCGTCCACTCCTGCCTCCATGAGAGTTGGGAGAACTACCAGATGTTTTTGGTTGTTTTTTTTTTTTTTTTTTTTTTTGCCTTTGGAACCTCAGTCCCTCGGGAACTGAAAAGCTTGGGGCCATGAGGATTGCAGCTTTCTGTTTAATATTGATTCTGAGTATGGAAAACTGGGGCCTCAGCTGCATTTGCTGGCAAAGAAGCCATTCGGCTCCTCTGGGGGATCCCTGTTCCTCCCTGGACTTTGAGTCATGGTAGATATCCGTGCCTGGGATTGTTGGGCAGTGTCCACTGTGCCTCATGCGGTGGCCAAGGGGTCACCCAGGGATAGTGTTCCCACCATTAACACCCTCCATGAAAGAAGTGAGGGGCTGTACTGAACATTGTGGGGGGGGGTCACTGGAGCCAGAGGACCAGGCTTTAATTCTAGCTCTGCCATTTCCAGCCCTGGTGCCTGGGTACATCCCTCTGTCTAATGGGACAGTTGGAGATGCCCCCAGAATTGCCTAGTGACCAGTCATGTCTAGAGGACTCAGTAGCCAACCCTACCTGGACGTGAGACAGGGAATGAAGGCAGCAGGTCAAAGGAATTTCAAATGGTTGATGGATGGGGGCCTGGGGTACTACCCAGTTAGGCAGTGGGTACTTGGAGCTCAGGATTGCTGAGGAACCTGGGAGCCAGCAGAGGCTGAACCAATCGGATCTACCCCAGCTAAGGAGGCCAGGTGTTTACTCCAGATCCCACCCATTTTGTGCTGAGGGCTGTGTTCAGGGGGATTGAACTGGCTTGAGGTTGAGTGTGAGCCTGGTGTCCGTGCCTCTTGAGTATATGGGTAGTAGTGCAGAGAGGGTCTGAGGGGCTACCAGCAGGCTTGTCTCTAAAAGATAGTCGAGACTGGCGTGGCCCCCGCATGCGTGTCCAGGTAAGTGGACTGGCATGCTCGACCTGTTATTTTTCCACTAATTCCATTTTCTTCCTCTCTTCTTCCCAGGACCAAATCAGTTTCCTCCATGTCTGAGTTTGAAAGTTTGCTCGACTGTTCCCCCTACCTTGCTGGTGGAGATGCCCGGAACAAGAAGCTGCCCAACAGCCCTGCTTTTGCCTTTGTGAGCACTGAGCCCGTGGAGCCTGAGAAAGACTCCAAGGAGAAGCCCGGGCTTTCCACCCGGGACTGCAGCCGTGTGGGTCCCCTGGCCTGCCAGGAGCCTGCAGGGAGGCAGATGCAGCGCAGTTACACTGCCCCAGACAAGACAGGCATCCGAGTCTACTATAGTCCCCCAGTGGCCAGGCGCCTGGGTGTCCCTGTGGTCCACGACAAGGAAGGCAAGATCCTCATTGAACCAGGCTTCCTCTTCACCACAGCCAAGCCCAAGGAGTCAGCCGAAGCTGACGGGCTGGCTGAGAGCGCCTACAGCCGCTGGCTTTGCAACTTCTCCCGGCAGCGCCTGGATGGAGGATCCGGGGGCAACAGCCAGGGTTCCGGACCTGCTTTCCCTGCAGCCTTGCATGACTTTGAGATGTCGGGCAACATGAGCGATGACATGAAGGAGATCACCAACTGCGTGCGGCAGGCCATGCGCTCCGGCTCGCTGGAGAGGAAGGTAAAGAGCACGTCCAGCCAGACGGTAGGTCTGGCCAGCGTGGGCACGCAGACCATTCGGACGGTCAGTGTGGGCCTGCAGACTGATCCTCCCCGCAGCAGCCTCCACAGCAAGAGCTGGTCGCCCCGCAGTTCCTCGCTCATGTCTGTGCGCAGCAAACAGATCTCCTCCTCCCTGGACAAGGTCCACTCTCGCATTGAGCGGCCATGCTGCTCGCCTAAGTACGGCTCACCCAAGCTCCAGAGGCGATCAGTATCCAAGCTGGACAGCACCAAGGACCGCAGCCTGTGGAACCTGCACCAAGGCAAGCAGAATGGCTCGGCCTGGGCCCGCTCCACCACCACACGGGATAGCCCGGTGCTGAGGAACATCAATGATGGGCTGTCCAGCCTCTTCAGTGTGGTGGAGCACTCGGGGAGTACCGAGTCAGTCTGGAAACTGGGCATGTCTGAGGCCCGAACCAAGCCCGAGCCTCCCAAGTATGGCATCGTGCAAGAGTTCTTCCGGAATGTGTGTGGCCGTGCACCGAGCCCCACTACCGCAGCAGGAGAGGAAAGCTCCAAGAAACCAGAGCCCCTGTCCCCTGCCAGCTACCACCAACCCGAGGGCGTAGCTAGGATCCTGAATAAGAAGGCAGCCAAGGCAGGTGGTAGCGAAGAGGTCAGACCCACCATGCTCTCCCAGGTGGGGAAGGATGGTGTCCTTCGGGACGGAGATGGAGCATTGGTCCTTTCCAGTGAGGTAAGGATGGACTTAACCCTTCTCTCAGAAAGGGGGATTAGCCTAGAGTTCAAACTCTTCCATCTTGTTTTGTGCTGCGTTTTGTTTTGTTTTGTTTAAAGTCAGAGTCCTGTGTAGCCCAGGCTGACCTTGAACTTTCTTTGTGACTGAGGATGACCTGATTCCCTTGCTTCTGTACTGGGATAACAGGTATGTTCATGACATGTAGTTTGTATATGGTGCTGAGGATGGTATCCTAGGCTTTGTGCGTTCAAGGTAAACATTCTGGCAACAAGGTTCATCTCAGGACCCTCTTCTGACTCTTAAACTCAGGGAAGATATTTGTGTGTCTTACAAATATCTCTGGAACTCATTCCATAGATGAGGTTGGCCCAGAACTCATAGAGACCAGCCTGCCTCTACCTCCTGAATGCTGGGATTAAAGGCGTGAGCCACCACAGCCTGAACTTAAAGAGTTCTTATGTTGAGTGGGATGGACGTGAACATTCTTGACCTGAGATAGCACAGACCCAGTGTGAAGAGACTAGTGGGTGCAGCTCAGCTATCTGCCTTGCCACCATGCCACAGGGGTTGGCAGCGTCCCCCAGAGAAGGGATGTGCCTATGGAGTAGGCTCGTTGGGCATTCTGTGTTTAGTGGAACTATTGCCTTGGTAGTTTAAGATTGCTGTAGTAAGAGGATGAATGCCAGAAGGAAAAAAAAAAAAAAGGCTGTAAAAAGCTAAACATCAGGGCCCCCCTCCCTCATTCTCAGAACACTGGCTATAACACACTCACTAACGGCCACTTCCCCACCCCAAGACTTCACATCTGAGTCCTAGGAGAATGTCTTGCTACGCACCCCACTCCTGATACCGATTCTGTTGTGTTAGGAATTATCTGAGGTTTAGTATAGGAATATGTCTAAGTTAGTGTTGGGGGTGGGGGGGAAGGTGTGGTCTCTGCAGGATGAGAGAGTCTTATGGAACTGAGAGTGGGCCTGACTCTGTACAGAGCATCTCTCTCTCCTCTCGATTGAATCCCCCCCCTTTTTTTTTTCTTCCAAGACAGAGGGATTTGAGTCAACATCTCTTAGGTGCTTGAACTGGAAGCTATAAAACCAGAGTTCTGCGGTGTTCTACTTGGTCCTTAGGCAAATTCAAGGAAGGGAGGAAAGAAGGGGGGAAGGAGGGAGGGAGTGGGGGGGTCTAAAGGTGACTCAGCAGTTAGGAGCCTTTGCTGTTCATGAATAATACCAAGGTTTGGTTTGCAGCACCCACATCAGACTGTGCACAGCTGCCCGTAACTCCAGTTTCAGGGACCTGACCTCCTCTGGCCTCTGCGGGCACCTTCATACACATGATGCACAAAGGCCCATGCAGACTCACAGACATATACGCAGATATAAAACAAATAAATCTTAAAAGAAGAAAAAGGAGATTGGAGAGATGGCTCTGCTTGCTCTTCCAGAGGACCCAGGATCAATTCACAGCACCTACATGGCAGCTCACAACCGTCTGTAACTCCAACTTCAGGGGATCTGAAACCCTCACACAGACATGCATGCAGGCAAAATAAAATGTGAAATTTTATTTTCACATTCAGGTGAAAATAAAATATTAAAAATGGAAAAACAGAAAGAACGTAAGAGAGGAGAAAGCTGGGTGGTGGTGGCGCACACCTTGAATCCTAGCACTGAGGAAGCGGAGGCAGGTGATCTCTGTGAGTTTGAGGCCAGCCTGGTCTACATAACAAGTTCCAGGGTAGTCAAAATTACACAGAGAAACCCTGCCTTAAAAAAAAATTACATTTCAGATTATTTCATTAAGTTTGATTTGCAGAAATAGGATAAAAGAATATTTGGAGATCTGTGAGGCATTTGTTGTACTGTCTAATAGTATTTCAGAAGAGATTGTCTAGATCAGTTTTTTATTCATTTGTGCCATATAAGTCTAGATGTGAGGCCGTGGGTTTAGTCCTAGTACATTAAAGAGGGAGAGAAGAAGAGGGGGAAGGGGAGAGTGAGAAGGAGGGGAGAGACAATATGAATGAACATTAGAATGAATGAGAGTTTCGATTTTAAGAGTCTTGTATAGGGTCTGGCCAGTGGTTTAGTTCCAGTCTGAGTCTCAAGGCCTGAGAACCAGGAGAGTTAATGACTTTAACCCAGTCTAAAAGCGGGCATCCTCATGGCCAGAAAGTGTTCTTGTTTCAGTTTAAGTCTGAAGGCAAGAAAAGGGAGCAGCAAAAGGTGCTTGCCATCAAATATGATGACCTAGGTCCAATCCCTGGCACTCACAGGTGAAGTAAGAAAACACTCAGGAAAGTTGCCCCTGACCTCCACTGCATGGATGCATACACATATATCCCACAGTGCAAAATAAATGAATAAACGTGTTTAAATTAATTAAAAAAAAAATAGAAGCAGGAACAAGAATCCAGTGTTCCAGTCTGAAGATTGTCAGCTATGAAGAATTTGCTTACCTTGGGGGAGAGGCAACTGTTTTAAGAGAGCTGATTGGATGAGACCCTCCCGCATTAAAGATGGTAATTTTCTTTACCTAGCCTGAAAACTTAGGTTTCAGTCTTACAAAAATGCACCCTCATATGAATGCCTAGAATAATGTTGGTCGTGGTGTTTAAGTGCCCCGTGTCTTAGTCACTATGATATAAAGTGAGCCATCACAAGCCAGAGGTGGTGGCTCATGCCATTGATCCCGTATTTTGGAGGCAGAGGCAGAAGGGTCTCTTATCAGTTTGAGACCAGCCTGGTCTACGTGGCAAGTTCCAGACCAGCCAAGTCTCTGTGGTGAGACTTTGTCTCCAAAAACAAAGCAGCAATAACAAGCGCCATCACGTTCATAAAGCTGTCACAGCGGGACAGAACAGTGAGGGTCCGGGAAGCTGGCCAGCAGTTAAGAACATTCACTGCTCTTCAAGAGGACCTGAGTTCAGTTCTCAGCACCCACCGATGACTCACAGCCGCCTATAGCTCCCGTTCCGAGGGATCCTATGCCCTCTTCCGGCCTCTGAGCGCTGCGCGCACGTGGTGCATTTACATACAGGAGGCAGAACACTCAGACACATACAACTAAATACACCTCTTTTCAAAAGAGAAGGGAAGCAGGGACAGAACAGGGCTGGAGTGTAGTTTGATGGTGAAACCACTTGCCCAGCACACAGGAAGCCCTGAGTTCAATTCCCAACACTTAAAAGGAGAAAGGAAAGAACAAGGAATGTGTTGCTGAGATGTGTTGAGTGCCTAGTAAGTAATGAGCCCTGTCATTGCATGTCATGCTTCACTTGACCGACACACTGCTGAGAAACACAACATGTCTTTCACCATAGAGAAGAGGTAAAGGCTTGTAGATGTGTCACTCGCCTAGTAAGTGACAGAGCCAGGACTGAAGAGCAGTTGGGTTTTGTAGCAGTGCTGTTGAACCATTTCTGGGATCTGATAATAATTTAAAGAATGAGTGAGACCAATATGGTGGCACATGCGAGGCAGAGGCCGGTTGGATCTCTGAGTTTGAGGCTAGCCTGGTCTATAGGAAGGGCTACACAGAGAAACCTTCTCAAGCAACAACAACAACAACAAAAAAGAATGGCTACCTAAATACACATCAAGAATGAATCAGGGAACCCCCAGTACTGCTTGCACATGACACTGCATCCCTGTAATCCCGGCTCTTGAATAGTTGAGACAGAAGCACCGCAGGTCGAGGCCAGCCCTGTCTGCATAGAGAATCCAAGGCCAGCTGGAGCTTCACAGTATGACCCTGACCCAAAGAAACTAACTGAAAAGTCAATTGGAGCTGAGGATGTAGCTCGGGGGTAGAGCGCCTGCCTGGCTTGCTCAAAGCCCTAGGTCCTACACTGGGGGAGAGAGGGAGAGGAAGTAAATTGGAAAATATCTATTTCCATTTAGTAGAACACTGTAGAGACCCGGGAGCTGGAGAGATGGCTCAGCAGTTAAGAGCATTTTTTCCAGAGGAAAAAATGGCTGTTTTTCCAGAGGAGCTGGGTTCGGTTCTCAGAATTCACATGGTGGCTCACAACTGTCTATAACTCTAGTTCCAGGAGATCTGACACCTTCTTTTGGACTCTGTAGGCACCGCATACTTGTGGCACATAGACATACATGCAAGCAAAATGCCCAAACTCAATAAAACAACAACAAAAACAAACCAGCAGAGACCTAGCCATTCACAGCAGCATCTGAAAAATGGGCTTTGGGGATGACACCATGCTGGTCAGTGTATGCTGTAAAATGTTGAGAATCTCAGCTGTAGACAATGGCTGCCTTCTTCTTTACAGACTTTATTAAAATGTGGATCCATTGCTACCCTAACAGGATCAGTGTGATAAAAATCGGTCTAGAACAGGCTTGCAGCCCCTGGGAAGCAGTGTGAGAGATGGCTGAGTCCTGGTTACTGGGTGGCTGTAGCCTCCTGCTCCTAACCCTCTTCTCCCTGTCTCTTCCAGGATGCCGTTTGTGACTGTAATTCCCAGTCACTGGCCTCCTGCTTCGTCCGGCCATCCCGCAACACCATCCGGCATTCTCCTTCCAAGTGCAGGCTGCACCCTTCAGAGTCAAGCTGGGGTGGGGAGGAGAGGGCAGCCCCCCAGTGAGTCACAGAGCAGCTAAGCTCCCGCCTCAAGCAGCCCAGACCCTGAGATGAGGCAAGGGGTCACAGCCTCAGCCTCGCTCTGCCCAGGAGGAATAGCAGCTGTACCACTGCCAGAGAAGAGCTTTCACATCAAGGTAAAGCAGGGTGTCCCACTGACTGCTGGGAAGAGACCTCTGATTTCCAGGGGAAGGCAGTGAGCAGGAGAAAGACCAACCCTGGCTAACCAGGACTGGGCCTCAGAAGCACCTGAAGAGCTCGGCAAGTCAGCTCTGGATCTTAAAGGGGGCCTGGCACCACCCTCACCACTTCTTAGAAGGATCCAGAAAAGGAGGCATTTCTGGCCAGGCTCCAGGAAACAGGGCTTACAGAGATGCACCCTACTGACCACATGTGGAGGAGAAGATACCACTTTGCTTAGGGCCCACCTCAAGGCTCTTGGGAGAGCTGGGCCTGGGGAGTGTCACCATTGCTTTCTCCTTCCAGCCCTATGCTCTGGTTGCAAGGTCTTCCTGGAGCAGGGAAGGGGGATATGATAGAGCAGAATCCAGGGCCAAGTCCACTTGGAATCCTGGAGCCCTGGATCCTCCCTGCCTGTACCTATATGTAGCAAGAATCGGGAGGCAGGTAGAAGTGTATAGGGTTTAGAGTTAGAGGCCAGAAGAGCTGACTCCCTTGCCAGGGGCACATGAAGGCCCAGCTTCCGTAGGAGATCCATGAGAGCAGAAATGGGTGTCGTCCATCTCAACACCTGATGTAGGTAAATGCCTACATGCTGTGCCTCGGTCCGTAGGGCCTCTTTCTTGGTAGCATGGGTGGGTGCCACAATCCTGCAGCAGGCAGAGGGCAGAAATGCTCCCTGGGAGAGACTCTGTCAGGCCAGAGAGAGCGCCAAGAGGCCAGTGTCCCCGGACGTAAGCCCAAGACAAGGGCCTACAAACATTTCTTGCCTAGATTGTTTATTTGAATTTTTCATACTATAAATATTTAAGGTGATTTACTTTATTTTAATAATTTAACTTACCTTCCCCCAAAGCCCCCAAGGTAATTTATTAGAGGTTTTCTTGCCACGGGGACAACGCGACACCATGACGTTTCCCCATGTGGCTGAGGCAGCTCAGCACCGGGCTCAGATCTCCTGGTTTTGTCAGAAGGGCCCCTTGGCAGAGCTCAGGCTCTGTACCTCGTTCCTCCAGTACCACTGGCCATCCGGTCTCAGAGCACTACTTTTCCCTCCTCAGCCGGTACTTGGCCCGGCCTCTAAAGGCCAGACTGTAAATGCTTCAGACAAAGTGCAGGCCAGAATGATGTCACCGCTCCCCCAGCCATCCTCCATGATCCTTCGCATCCCTCCCCTCCCTCCAACATCTTTCCTCATGAGTCAAACCCGGAGGACCGCAGCTCTGTTCCGAGCACAGCGACCCCTCCACGTTCCCCAAGAGAGAACTCGCAGGAAGCAGAATGAACGTCTAGAATGTTGTCTGTTGCAGCTTTGCACATGGATCTGAGAGTGTCTACCAGACTGCCAGCCTGTTCACCAGCCCTTCTCTTAGCCTTATAGCCACTCATGGCTCTTCTAGCCCAAGCTCTACTGCCTGTCTTTCCTACAGCCCTAGGAGTTGCCTGAGCCACGCCCGTAGAACTCGGCTGCAGTATGGGGAGGCTCGCGTGCCTCCCCTTGGTGCCAGTGAACCAATTTCAGTTGTACACATGTGATGTGCTACCCTCCCGTCCCTGGCTGGGGATCTGGACTCATCCAGGGATGGGTTGGCTTTTGCGCAGAGTTCCCCATCAGAAAGGCAGAGATCCAACTGCATAGCTGGTTTGCTTCAGGACTAGGGAGATGCATCTGCACTCCCACCTACCAGTTCCCAGGCTACCTTTTAAGGAACACCTGGACCAGCCACCCAAAGCCCCTCGGCCCCCTTCCCTATGGGCAGTATATCAGGGTCAGCCCGTTCTACCAGCTGTTGCCTCATGTCCTAATAACTTGCATGGGCAAAGTCAGCAGGCCGGTGGACCATGGGCCAGGTCCCTCCAGGATGCTACTACTCTCCTTGAAGAGGTCAGAGGCCCCTCTAAGGTTATTTCCAGCTGAGGGGAACCACACCAGGCCACAAGCCACCAGAGGCCTTCTGCCACCTCCCAGAGCTGCTGAGAGCCAGGGAGGCTTGGAGAAAGGTCCCCATAGGCCTGAACCCCAGGGCTTAGGGACCATTCAGCCTTACCATCGTCCTCCATCTGGGTTGTCGTGCATTTCCATTGTCTCAGCACCTGGCTCCTGTGGCCCCAACAGGTGTTGCAAGCTCCAGGTCTTGGTTTTCAGTCCCTGTTTCTAATTCTTGCTTGCCACTGTGCAAGGCTGCTTGTCACTGTCCCTACAGAAGCCTTTGGACGTGGGGCTTAATGGGGTTGAAAATGTTGTGTGTAAATATTGGTTTGGTTTGATCTTTAGCGTTTTACTTGGTAACTGGTTCTGTTTTCTTTTGGGGGGAGGTGGAAGGGTTGGTTTGTAAATCTACTCTTTAAAAATGTAATTTCTAAGTTTGTTTGTTTCTTCAAATGCTTTTTATGTCTTGGTAACATTCCCAAAGCAGAAAATTGCCTGGCTTACAGGGCCACGCCCCTGGAGGCCTGCGGTCGTGGGAAGGAGCAACACCCTTCCTCCTATCCATCCTGTCTGTGCACCTCTGTTTTCTCTCCTCCTTCAGCTTTCTACCTCCTTTTTCCTCCCTCCTCTCTCTCTTCTTTCTCCCTCCCTCCCTAATGTTCCAAGGAGCCTTGGGGTCCAGCCCTCTAAAAGATTGTCTGGCTTGTGCCCACGGGTTGACACAAATTGGCTGGGGACATGAGGATGAGTTACATGACTGAAACTAAACTATGTCTTCTCACCTCTTCTAGGGATAAACCAAATTAGACTGTCTTGGAGGCAATGGTGACTGGTTCTGAAATGAAGTTCAGAGCTCTTTGGGAGCCCCTGACTGAACAGGCATTAGAATCCATTTTCCTTTGCCCTGTAGCCTTCCTCCTAGTCCTTCTTCCACTAAGGCTGCCATCCAGAGATCGTGTTCTATAGGCCCTAGAATTGGGCCCTGTCTCTTGGTCTCTCTAGGGATGCTCATCTTCAGGAGACAAAACTGAGTATTCTAAAGATTTGACTGGGTGCCACCATGCCGCTTTGTGTACCTTTCATGGACATAGCTGTCACTCAGCTTTGTCTCCTGCCCAGAGACCACCCAGACTCTTCCTCTTCCCCAGAACAGATCTAGTTCCAGCCTTAACTGCCCACTAGCTCCCTCTGCCACCTCGCTGTAGTAACAACCATCCCCCACCATCCTCTCTAGAGCACTTTACTGTTGAGGGGTCACATCCCCCCATCTCTCCTCAGTCTCTCCTCGTCAACTCTTAAGAGGCAGTTTTGACATGACAGGGCTTAGTGCTCTCATTCTGCAAGTGAGAAAACAGGTACAGTTCTCACCTGGAGCCTGGAACCAGGAAGTCACCATCTTTACAGCAGGACTCTTTCTTATTTTCTGTACAAACTCACTGGGACACTGGCTAGATTCGGGGCATCCCAAACATAACACTGCCGAACCCAGAGACAAGAAATGCAATTCTGGACCTTTGTTCCAGTGGGTAGTCCGGGACCCCTACACCTAACCCCTGTGAGCATCCTGCAGATTCCTTGGGCCTTACCTTCCGGACAGAGGACCTATAGGGTTAGCTCCCTGGGAGATAGTTAAGCACCAGTGACCACGGTGTTCACACTCACAGCCTCAGCCACTCAGAGCTCTTGCGTTTTCAGCCAGTGTTCATAGTTCTAGGTTCTGAACAAGAGCCCTGAGCACTGAGCTGGGATATTGGGGGGAGGGGTATGTTTGCTGTAAATTTGAAAATAAGTGTTGGGCTATGTAATGTTTATCATTAGCTCTAAGATTTTTATCTGGGCTGTCTTCCATCCATGATCCTATGGTACTTGCTTGTATTCCTTATCCAGGCCTTTTCACGCCATTATTGGAGTCCTTCCTCCCAGCCCATTTTTATTAACAACAACAGGGTGTTTCAGGCAAACTCTGCTTTGGGTAAATGACCCCAAGGATTTACAAAGGGCATCAAAAACAGTGTCCCACCTTAGTCGCATGTAACAAAGCCAGAGCGTTGAGGCTGATGACACAGGCTCTAATTCCAGCTACTCAGGGGCTAAAGCAGGAGGATCAAGTTCAAAGTCTGTTTGGTCTATAGAGTGAGTTCATGCTCAGTCTGGGCAGTTTTCTGAGAACTTATCTCAAAGTTTGTAGAAAGTGCTGGAAATCTCAGTGTTAGATGATTGCTTCACCTGGGGTAAGGCCCTGTGTTCTCTCTCTAGTATTGGGAAACAAAACTAGAAAATCAAAAGGTGAGAACTGCAGATATAGATCTCAGTAATATATATCTATTGAGATATATATTATATCTCAATTATATATATATTATAAATATATCTCAGTCTTGCCCAGGACTGCCAAGAAAAAAAGAAAAAACTCATTTCCCCGATCTACCTACTATAATCCTCATATCACACAATTTAAATTATACTCCATTGCTTTTTGTTTGCCTGACTGCTTTTATATTTTTAGACACGATCTCGCTGTGTATCCCTAGCAGATCTGGAAATTGCTATGCAGACTTCAAATTTGTGTTAATTCTCCTGCCTCTGCCTCCCAAGTTCCAGAATTATAGGCATGCACCACTATACCCAGCCTTAGGTTTCATTCTTGAGTTTCCTGGAGACCATGGTAAGAAGAGAAGCATGCCAGGCTTTTCCTGTCTTCATCAGTCAATCACATGAGGCAAGCCTATTCGCTCCCAGAGATGGAACTAATGTGGAGCATCAGCTCCTTCTTTAACGACCGCGGAGCTGATTGCTGGTATGCAGGCTCACCTGAGATAAAGCATGCTTTCCAGGTGACTCCTTACAAAATAATAAACTGCACCAACTTGAATGACTGTTGCCAAATCATGTGGCTAGCTATGCCTCAGTTTCCCCAGCTATGACGTGGTGACTATGGTGAAGACCAAATACATCATGCCTGTTATCTCCTTCAAAAAAAAAAAAAAAAAAAAAGAGCTGACGTTCTATATACATTTTATTTTTTTTTAGTAATCGTATTTTTTTTTATTCTATATACATCTCTTATTTGGACTTTTTATGTGACCTTTGAAGTCTCCTCCCTGTCCCTGTAAACTTACATCCCCACACCATCCGGGAAGTGCCGTGTCCAGTCCTACCTCCCAATTCCAAGCTTTGCTCTCCAATATGCAATTACCTTGTCTTGTGTTTATATTGTATTTCTCTCACTAGAGCCATCCTCTTTCCTCCATGCATCGTGCAGTGCCATCTCTTCCGGTCCCCCTCACCAGACTCACCCCACTCTCTGCCTCCTGTCTTCTTGTCGACCATCTCCCCATAACAGCCACATCACCTTTTACTGGGAGGATGTGTGATGAACATGAACTTGCTCTTCACCTTTGGGTCTTCTCTGCCCTGCCCGCTCTTGGCCTTGGTGTAAAGCAGGAAAAGCTTGACTTCTTTTTCTTTGGTCTGTGTCTATCTGTGCATTCCGTTGATTCTCTCCTGGCCTTCATCTCATCCAGATCAGCTCATTTGACAGAACTCCCCCCCCCCCCCCAACCAACAGCATTTTCAGTTTGCAGAATCCACAGACTCACAGAAGGGGACTGAAGATGTGACACTGGGCCGCAGACCTCTACCACTGATCACTTTCCTTCCTCACCCTCCTGGGACCCTCTGCCTACCCCATTGACTCTGTCCCTCTTCCTGCCCTTCCCTAAGGGAAGAGACTTTGGTTTCCTCCCAATATCCTGGAAAGACTGAGGCAGTTGAGTCTGGCTCCCTTGTCATACCACATCTTAAGCTGCCACTTACATGAAGGGAGACCTCAGCTGGCAGTCTAGAAACCGATCCCAAGTTGGAGTTTCCCAGTTTTATGGTCCGCTCAGAAGCACCAGGATGACCCTGTAGGCTTCAAACATTCTTTGTGTTTTGGGGTCCTTCAGCCTCCACTGGATACGGGGCTCTGGCACCCCTTGTTCTTTTCTTGGCTCTACTGTTGATCTCTTCTCTGAACAGGGGTCTCACCCACTACATTATTCCTATCATCTATCCAGATCTTTTGGTGCCTCTACAGCTGGGCCTTGCCAGTATGGCTTGCCTTAGGAGTACCAGGTTGCCAAAGACACCCCTGGCGACTCTGTTCCCGCAGTAGAAGCATCACTGGGAAAGCTGACAGAAGTGCAGATTGTTGGCCCCCACCTGGAACCCACTGAAGTGGGCCCAGCAAGTTGGGGTATGAAAGCGCGTCCAGTTCATTCTGATGGAGACAAGTGCGCCCACAGCAACAAGGTTGCTGGCCTAGGTGAGCTGTTGTTGCAGCTTGGGCAGGAACTGGGACTGGCCTGAGCCATGAATAATGGAAAACAACCAGACAGCAGGACTCCTCCATTCAGGGCCTCTGGGCCCAGCAGAAACAACACTATGACATCTCCTCTCTCTGGAAGCTGGAGGGGGAAGGACGGTCTTGCAATCTTCCCTGTTACCTTCCTGGCTTCATTTCAGCCCAGTTCACCATCCCCCACTAATTTGGGTTTTGGGGAAAGCTGCACAGGTGGTCACAGCAGGCAAAGGGGAGAGTCTCTGGAGGCAAGAGGCAAAAAGGACCCTTTTTGTTTATGCGCTGGATCCTCACCTTCTCCAGAGGGCCTCTGTGCAAGGGGAAAGGAACCTAATGCTGCAGGAGAGCCCCCTGCCCACTCACCACCAGCATCCCACACCGTACCTCCTTGACCTCTCGATTCCCAGGGAGACCTTGTAGACAGTGCCAAAAATCAGTTCCAACCCCCAGTGCCTGGGGAAGAGCTAGAAACTGCCTTTCCTCCTCATCCTGGCTCCCCTCCCCAACCTGGCCAATACTGTGAAGCCCTTTCCTGCTCAGCCCGGTTTCCTGGTGAGGGTCCTGCAGTCGTGGGCCCTGGGGACCACTTAGGAGGGAAGGGACCAAGGGCATCCTTGGGCCAACTATCCACCTCTCCCTTCTGCTCTTCTTCCTTCCCCTACTTTTCTGTCCCCCCTTTCTCTTTCTTCTCCTCCCCACTCCGATACCCACCCCAACCTTTCTGTGTTTAAAGGCTCCTTCCGGGGACAGATGGAGTGGTAGGACTGCCGTCTAGTCCACCAGCTCTCCTCGCCCTGTGTCTTATTTCAGACATGAGAACTGTACAGTGTAAACTTACAAAGTGTTTTTAATGGTTGTAGATTGGAAATAAAGTATGTCACATAAACAGTTGCTTGTTCTCTGCTCTCTGCTTTTCCCTAGGGAGGCTGGTGGGGCCCCCAGCAGATTTGAAAGCTGACTCCATCCCACCTGGGGTTGCTTAGGAGGAAGGGAAACTGGTGCCAGCTGGCTGGTTTGGAATCACCTAGATGGGGCCGCCAGGGGCTCTGGTGGCTCATGGCTGGTGACTCAGTGTCTCCCAGGAAGTGTGTTCACCACTACTGAAGAACAAGTGCAGAACACTCAAGAAGGAGAGAAGTAGAATCAGGCTTTTCTGCAATACACTTACAATAATTTATTATGGGGGGGAGATACTTTTAGACACAACAGTGTGCAATTACCTATCCCAAATGTATTGCATCCCACCAGTGGTGTAGGGCTGAGGGTTTGGGAGCTGGGCAGTTCTAGTTCAGCGTTCCTGGAGGCTTCCAGTTAGGCTGTGAGTATTTGCCCCTTTTTGACTCTGGGGATGGAACACAGAACCTGTCTCATGCATGTTAGGCAAGTGCCTTACCAGAGAGCTCTAGGCCCAGGTAGCCTTGTATTGTTCATTTGTATTCCTGACTAGAGCTGAAGACTGCTTTACAATGTGGCTAATTCACAAACCTGGCAAGTCGCTACGGGCCATCGAGTAGGAGACTCAGTTCCTCAGCACGTGGAGAAGCTTGTGTGTCGCATTGCGGCTTCTAGCACTCTTCAGGGGAAAGGGTCATCGGGGCCGTCTTGGCAGCTGCCTACTTACTGTAAGTGGGGGCACAGTAAAGAAACTGCCAACAGGACCTCTCCGTGATAGGGTTAAGGCAGTAGTAGAGAACCGTGAGTTGTAAGGAGAATGACTAGATGGAGGGTAGGAAGCAGAGGAGCTGATGGGAGTTTAGGGTGGAGGAGAAGGTGAGGGCTAGCTGGTATAACAACTGCTTTTGGTAGTGAGGGAGCCGGCAGGGCAGCATGGGCTTTGCTAAGCTGATAGGTGCCACGGGTAGCCAGATGTCCCTTTGGCAGATGGAAACCAGTTTTACAAGTTTCAGAGGAATGCTGGTTTTCATTTAACTGCCAGAAATCCTTCTGTAGTCCAGTTTAGCTCGTTGCTGGATATTTGGACAGCCTGAGACCTAACACCTACTTTTATAGATCCTCTCTTTTTTGAGGGGTGGCAGGGCAGTGTTGGGGCTAACAACAGCCAGGCCTATGCCCACCATAGAGGATCTAATAGATGGTCCAGGAAAATAAGACATTAAGCATCAATCGGAGAAGCAGGGAGTCCCTGGGGAGCACACCCAGAGTTGGGATGCTGAGCAGACAAAGGGGATGGTAATGGATCATAGACAGGAAACAGGAGAGGGTTCAAAGAGAGAAGGAGCATGCCTGAAAGCCTGGTTCAAAGAGGCAAAGACAGGCATGCTGGCATACATTGGTAATCCCAATACTTGGGATGGGGGGGGGGGGCGGGCAAAAGGAGCAGAAGTTAACAGTGTCTCCTTGGCTGTATATTGAGTTTGAGGTCAGCCTAGACTACATGAGAACCTGCTCAAAATAACCAGAAAGGGGACAGGGTTATGAATTCAAGCAATAAAATTTTGATGTGGAACAAGGAAAAAAAATTATGCATCTTATGAACAAGATGGAGCCACGGGAGAATTCAAAGCAAGGATGTTTCCTGGGAGTGGATTCCACAAGGCAGTAATTTCAGCGTGTCCCAACATGGCCAGCCCTGGCTGGGAATACTGAGGTCTGTTTTGGGGACATCAACATGTGAGGTGCTGGGAAATAGGTGCATGGATAAAAGAAACCCAGCTCCAGAAAGTGATATTCAGGGAACCAAGAACAGATAGCTGTTGAAACTACGAGGCCAGAATGGCAGAGTAGACATTTCTGAAATACACATTCCTACCTTTTACCAGAAAACTTGCAAGGGACCACAATTACAACAGAGAAATAGCCAAAGTCATGCTTCAGCCACCTCTTGTTTATTGGAGCGTTTTTTGTTTTGTTTTTGTTTGAGACAGAGTCTCACTATGTAGCCTTGGCTAGCCTGGAGCTTTCAGGCTGGCCTCAAACGCACAAGACAAGTGTCTGCCTCTGCCTTCCCGGTGCTGAGATTAAAGGCATGTGCCACCACACCTGGCCCTTTGTAATCTTCCATATTGCTCTCAATTCAGCGTTCCCAAAGATCAGATCTGAAAGAAATCACTTCACTGTCTCATGAGGGCGTTCTAATGGACCCATACTTTGTCCTGAGGAAGCAGTCTGCTCTGTATACCCTCCCAGGCAAGGGAGAGTGGAGCAGGCGTGGTTTGGGCTTCTGGGTGCACAAAACAACTGGCCTTCAATATGGGGTCAACATAGATGGATAGAAACGGAAAGGAAGGCTTTCCAGGCAAAGAGTATGCTCCAACAAAGAAGCGGGAGCAGGGTTGGCCTGTGTTGAGGCTGGCAAGGTTGTGCTTAGTTTGCTTGGGTACTTAAGGACCATGGGGCGGGAGATAAATTGAGTTCAGAGTTCTAGTTCTCCTTGGAGAAAGTCACTGTCTACACTCTTTGAGTCAAAGAGCTGGGGGGGGGGGGGGGGGGAGCCATGGCCCGCAATAGGGGTATGGCACCAGATTCCCTGGCTTTCATAGGCTGTATAGCGGGGGAGGTCACCAAATTGCTGTATTGGAAAGGGCAACCCCCGGGCTAGCAGTAGCTACAGACGAGGTGATTGGGATCTGGTTGGAAACCACACAAGGTGGGCAGGGCTAGCGCGTGGAACAGCGGAGTACGCATGCGCTCTACCGGAGGCGCGGTTTGCGCGCCCAAGTCTCAGGACGCGCATGCGTAGTTGTTCGGCGGGAGTTTCGGAAGTAGCCACGGAGACGCTGGACCGCGGACCGGACTAACGCGGAAGAGCACCCTCTACGGTGACGCCGAGTTTGCAGAGGTGACCTTGGGCTTCGTGTTTCAGGAACGCCGCCCCCACCCCACCCCCGGACTGGACTGGCATCGCTCTGGGGTTCGGAAGTCGCAGACACCTCCCCGGATGTGGCTCACTCACCCCTGACCCGCCTCTCGGCCGCACCCTCCCACTGCTCCTGGCGCTTCCAGCTGCAGGGCCCGAGGGCTGGGAGACTTTCTCGAGGTGGGACACCGGGGGAGGGCCACGCCTCTCTCCAGGGCACAGCTGGCGGCCCTGACTCCTGATAGTGACCACAGGCAGATTGCTAGCTCGCATTGCTGTGCTCCGGACCTGGGCCCCCTGATAGAATAACAGTGCTCAGAGTTGTGGAACGTGCTAAATGGAGTAATGCTGTAAGAAGGCATTTACTTGGCACAGGCTCGTAAGCGCTTAAATGACTTATTCAAGCTTGAGCCTGTGTGATCAGGCAGAAGGATTGTGGTGATTTAGGTCGTGGAAGGACCCTTCAGTATAGCCCCTCAGCATGCATTCGTATTTCTTTACCAAGCATCCCCAATATTTAGATGTCTTTTGGGAGGGAGAGGTAGGTACTTGCGAGATGGAGAGAAGCCTGTTCCTGCCTCTCTTCGGGACAGTTGTTTGTGACAGGTGCTGGGAATGCGGTCTAGTCCGGCTGGGGAGACACGTAAATGAATTTTACAGCCAGTTCTATAGAGAAAGATGTTTGCCCACCGAATCTGCTGGAATAGTGACTTCATATTTAAGCTATGTTAGGAAGAGATGATTATGTTTTATGGGTAGAAGGACAAATGTGTGTACTGATTAAAAAGAATTTTCAGGAATGGCAGAATCTGGAGAGAATGTGTGGTGGTTTTGTTTGTTTTCTAACCTGGAAAACAAAGATCCTAAAGTCATCAACGGAATTAGGGGCTAGCGAATCACAAGGTGATTGGGAGCTAAGATAGGTTGTATGTAGTTAGCTCTGCAGGAGAGCAGTCAGTGACCCCAGCTGGTAATCTTGGAGGAGGCAAGTGAAGGCAGTTGAAGCACAAGACCTATTATGGGATATGAAGCCCCCTGTGAGACTGGAGGTGGAATGTGAAGAACAGATCACTTCATTTTCCTATTTTTATTTTTTTCACCCAGGATGACTTCAGTGACCACACCAGAAGGTGAGTTTTACAGTGAGATCTAGCGCCTCTTGCTTCGGGTTCAGGCTTTTGAACTGTCACAGAATCCTTGCTCCTGGTGGATTTGGAATCACACGAGTATGCATTGGCAGAATGGCTTCCTCCTTGTTTCCATCACCTGGGAAATAGATTTCCCTTCTTCCTTCTTTCCTTCTGCCTAGGCTCCTAGAAAGCTGATGCTACAAGTGTATGCCATCTTGTGGGGACGTGCATTTTCTTTTGTCACCCTTTGCTCAGACACTTAATTGTGGTAGGTTTGATTTTATATTTTGATTTTTCTGTAACAAATGCTAGACCAGGAACCAGTGATGTCCCAGACTCAGGATCATCAGTTGCAACCAAGTCTCAGCCCTTTGGAAGTATTGCCTAAATCCTCTGCCTCCCTGGAGATGATGACTCAAGGCATTTCAAAGGAGAAAAATCACCTAGATTGGCCTGAAGAGGGGGAAAGTTGTGTTGCCAACAGCCAGGAGAGACTTCAATTGGGGTTGTCTCATTTGTCCTTTGAAGAACCGTCTGTCTGTCATCAAACCAGGAGGCAGTCCTGGCGACGAGCAAGTATGAAAGAAATAAACCGACGGAAGTCATTGGCTCCCTTTCACCCAGGCATCACAGGTGGGGTGCTGTGTACATGAAAGAATGGAATTCCAGCCCAAATATGAGGCAGTGAGAAATGAATGGCATCGAGTGCAGAATAGACAGGACTTGGCTACCTTTTAGCTATGCAACTTTGAACACATCACCTTCTTGAGCGTCATTTTCCTTACCTATAGAATGGAGATAATCCTATGGGCATGTTCTTGTTCATAAGTCCTGATGCCACACACTCAGTGAGTGTTTAGTATTAATTGTCTGTATACATATTAGCTGCTATGAACAGAACTCCTGGTTGCTAATTGTTTTAATATGTCATCCTATCTAGGATCCTAGGAATTTGGGTTCTTCCTATGTCTCATACCCTAAAGTGGAACAGAAGGCCAGTGGATTGATGCCTGCTTGATTCCAGTCTTTTTAACTGGAAATGACTCAGAAGGAAGACACATTAAAAATACATTAAGTGGGGATAGGTATGTGGCTCAGTGGTGAGGCACATACCTAGTGTGCCTGAGGCCCCACGTTTAGTCCCCAGCACTAAAAAAAAAAAAAAAACAAGTAAAATGTCTTTTAGGGATTCCATATTTAAATGTAATTTGAGTAAATTTATAATCATTTGATGTGTCAGTATCTTTATATTCGTTTGATATGCGAGTTTCAGTATATGATGAGAGTGTAGAAAGTCTAATTTGAGGTTGAGCTTCACTTTCTTTGTCTTAAGTCCTTCCCAGTAACCTGGGGGAAATAAAACCACAGTACATACATACTTGGCAATTAGCAGACCCTTCAGTGTTGGAGCTAATGTGATTTCCTTTAAGGTACCACTGTTTTTCCGGGCTGTTGCATGTATAGAAGGGATCTGAGTAAAAACAGAAAGCATGCCATGGCACCCGGGCACATTGTCCCCTAGATGTGCCAAGAGAGTAGTTGTGTCCCCATTCTAGAGCCTCAGTTTGTATAACATGGAATCACCTGTGTAATAAGATGAATTATTTTTCTGGGTATCCCTGGCTACCTTCTAGGCTTCCTTGCTTATGGCTAGAAAGAATCTGGTTGACAGCAGCCAGACAGCCAAGGGGCAAGGGTTATTTTTAAAACAGCCTACTGAAGCTGAAGGGCAAGAATCCTTAACGCCAGGTACTTCCTACTGTACGGTAATTGTTTTTAAATGGATGTCGTTGAGAAAACAGCATCTACATCTTACAGTTGTTTGGGTCGGTGACATGATTACATAAAGCACCCACCCAGTGGGTTCTGATGACTTGCTGTATAATCTAGAGCAAGGAATCTAACCAGCCTGTGTGCCGCAGTGTTGTTAACCATCTGTTACCAAAATAGACTTGATGCCAGGTATGGTCAGTTCTTGCCAGTGATCTCAGCACTTGGCAGTCTGATGCAGGAGGATTGCCAGGAGTGTAAGAACAGCCTGGGCTACATTACAAGACTGTATTTCAAAAAAATAAAATAAAATTAACAAACCGAAGAGACTTGCCTTAAATTTTTAAAGAGCTGTGTGTAGCAGCGGAGGAAAATGTCCGCCCCACAGCAGGTGTTCAGCGGCCACTGGCTAATGTTAAATCACCACAAGGAACACACTGCTTGTAGAAAAGCGTCTTGCAGGCATACTTGGGCTGGAAGCATGACTTCTTCAGCCTTTCCTCAGACAGTTCATTTCCTTTCCTTGGCCGAGTTTCTCCATTTGTAACATGGAGCTCGTATTGTTTATAAGAAATCATCTTCACACTTCAGTGAAGATTCGAGTCCATGCACAGGTGAGGCAGCCCCATCCCAGCTCTGCAGGTTATATATTGAAGCACATTGCAGGGCCTGTTACAGAAATGCCTTCTGAGTCTCTGTCTTTTCTTTTTGGAGACAGGGTTTCTCTGTGTAGCCATGATTGTCCTGGAACTCACTCTGTAGACCAGGCTGGCCTCGAACTCACAGAGATCTGTCTGCCTCTGCCTCCCCAGCACTGGAATTAAAGGCGTGGGCCACCACCCACTCCTCAGTGTGATATTTTCAATCTGCCTTGTTAAACAAGATTTTAGTGTAATATATGAAAAGGTTCTAATAACGCTTGAAAATTTGGATTCATGAAAATGTAAGCTTTATTCCTTTGTGTGACTGGAAAAATTAGAATTCTCTCCTTACTCAGGTAAGGCAGCTTGTCTTTATTAGGTTACGTCAAGAGGGGGTAGATTTTCTGGTTTTGTTTTGTTGACCGAGTGTGATATTCCTTAAATGTGCTGCTTTGTGTCAGAGCTCAGCAGGTCCATCAGTGTGAACTTAGGAGAAAGCAAGCGGCTTGGCGCCCTCCTGCTCTCCAGTTTCCAGGTGAGATTTTCAGGGTCCAGAAGTGTTTCTCTTTGGTGGTGTTTGCTCTTGAGAGAGATCTCAATATCAGTGATGAACCGAGGAAAAGCGGTTTTTCCTGGTTGGAGCTGATTTCAAAGCCAGTTCTCACCTGGGCAGCTGTGCTTCCTGTGGACTAACCTTGCTGCTGCTGTTAGCTGAGCAGCTCAGAGGTTTCCCAGTGTCTTTCACTCATTGTCAGCAAGTGGTGAGACTTTAGAGTGGGTTGCAGTCAAAATCAGTTACTGTAGACATTTCAAGGCTAACTGCGTGGCAGACCAGTGTGGGAAGTATTTGTCTTTGTCTTGTTTTTTTAAAGTTGTGTTTTATGCCCCCCGGTAGCTTATGACTATTTAGATGAGCTAGTAATTTGTGTGAATTAAGTGAGCATTGTTTTCCCTGAGTTAAAAATGAAAATGTAAGCCAGGTGTGGTAGTACATACCTTGCAGTAGATCTGTGAGTTTGAGGCCAGCCTGTTCTACATCTGCAGAGTGAGTATTAGGACAGCCTGGGCTACACAAAGAAACCCTGTCTCCAAGAAACAAAAACAAACCATACACACACACACACACACACACACACACACACACACACACACACACAAATAAACAGAATGTGAACAACATAGCTTTTCCTACTGATCTATATGGAAAGTGTGGGGTGAAAAAGAGGCTGTGTGTGGTTTCATGAAGTTCATCATAAGCATCATGAAGCTACAGACAGCTGGCCTGGGAAACTTTGGTGGTTGTACATCAAGTGCTTTTCTTTATTTAGTTCTCAGTTGAGAAGCTTGAGCCTTTCTTAAAGAGCAGTAAGGACTTCAGCCCGGAATGTTTCAGAGCAAAAGGTGAGCTGTGAAGCACCTACAAGTGCTTTGATCCTGACCGACTCCTTCTGTTGAAGCCAGCCAGTCTGTTTTCAGTGTCCTCTTTTATGAAAGATGCTGTCTCTTTAAAACCAGGTCCCTCACCTTTTTAAATGTCGCCCCTTCCTACTACATTCCTGCCTTTACCTGACTTCTGTAATGCTTTCTCTTCAGGGACAGCGGTCACATTTCTGGGAAAAAGTAAAATTGTATAGAGATCTATGTTTAACTGCTTTTTCATGAGAAAAGTGTAGAAATACTTAAAAAGTTGCCTTCCATTTAGCTATCCACCCAAAGAAAAGGATAAATTTTTCTTTTGTATTTTCTTGTTGCACCCCCATCCACCCATATAGTTATTTTCCTATTACTGTGATAAAACATCATGACCAAGGTATTTAATTTCAGGGAGCTAGAGTACATGTTGGCAGAGCAAAGGCTTCGCAGCAGAAATATCTGAGAGCTCACACCTTGATTTCAAGTAGGAGGCAGAGAGCACACTGGAAATAGAACAAGGCTTTTGAAACCTCAAAGCCCACACCCCCAGTGACGCACCTCCAACAAGGCTGCACCTGATCCTTTCCAAACAGTTCTGCCAACTGGGGACCAAGTATTCAAACACAGAGCCCATGGAGCACATTCCCATTCAAACCACCACAGCCATCCCTGTGGTGCTGGTTACCAAACCCAGGGCCTTGAACTTGGCTAGGCAAGTTCCTCTACCATGGAGCTAAACTTCCAACCCCAAAGATAAATTTTTTGCATATTTACATGACTGTTTTATGTGAATGAGAGGGCTGGAATGCAATAGGGAAGCCTAGAGTAGGAGGAAACTCCTTAATGTCTTTGTCATGTTCTTCCTGTGAGCATTTGTAGTCTTTTTTATTTTCTAACATAAATTTATCCTCTCTAGCATCTTCTCTCTCTGAAGAATTGAAACGTTTTACAGAGAAGCTGGAAAGTGATGGAACTCTACAAAAATGTTTCGTTGAAGATTCAAAAGAGTAAGAGCAATTCCCTTTCCATCTAATTATAACGGAGTTAAAACTTGATAATAATTAATCCAGTGCTTACACAAACATTTATGTGTCACCTCTGTACCACGCATTCTTTAATTATTTTTGCTTTCTTGAGATACAGTCTCCGTGTAGTTTGGACTGGCCTTAACCTATTGGCAATCCTTCTAGCTCTACCTTCCAAGTGCTAGGATTAGAGGTATGAGCTCATGCTTGGCTTGTACCAGGCTTTTCAGGATAATGAGGAAAGGGATATAATAATAAATAAGTCAAGACCCTTTTGTCATATTTGTGTTAGAAGAGATAACAGAGAAAATCCAGTCTCGACTAGTAATAATCCAGGAAGTCAGCAAGTTGATAGTGACGTTGCTAGAGTGTTGAGAGAAGATCCCTAATAGTTTCACTTTCAGATTGGACACAAAAGACCTGGGTAGTGAAAAGTAACAGCTGTGGAAAGATTGAGGGGACCAGTCCTCAGACCTTTGACTGCCATGCAGAGGGCAGCTTATGTCCTGGTGCTCTTTGCAAGCAAGAGTATTAGCAGAATGGGCTGGCAAGATGACTCAGTGGATAAAAGCAAAAGCTCTTACTGGCACAAGCTTATGACCTCATTCCTATCCATACTTCCCTTGGTGGAAGGAAGCGTTCCTTTGTTGAAAGTAGTCTTTTTACCTCTACACACACTGTGTCACATACATACCTATGCATGTGCAAACACAAACATGCCACACACTGATAGTAATAAGTAGAATTTATTGTTAAAAGGATAACATCCCCTAAATTGGTAGTCCTTCAAGACTGGGGCTGCCATCACAACTCATAATTCTAAGAGTCATGCACTTGATCTGAATTTAGAAGTTATGCAAGGTCTGTCCTTTTGCAAGTTCTTGAGAGTGAGATTGCTAATCAGACATGAAATAGTTTGGCCCAACAACGTGTATTTAAGCGCAGGCTGCTGCATCTCTGCTAGAGATACTGCACACGTGCCTTGGTAGAAAGCAAGAATTGCAGCCCTCGTAATCTGTCTTTGTCAGGTGGAAAACCAAGTATATGTGCTGTAGGTTGGCATTTTCAGTGCCTGCTTCTTTCCCATTAGAAACAGAGTCATGAGAGAAATTGCTGAGCTGAGAGGAGCCAGAACACAGAAAGTCTTAAGAACCAAGTTAAAAGGTTTTGGTTTTTATTCTGTTTGCAGTAGTCATGGAATTTTAAAGCTAGGGAGAAAAAGTAAAGGACTATTTTTAGGAAGGTTAATCGCCATGGTATGAATTGGAATTGATGAGAAAAACAGATTTAGAAGCCATTTAGCAATTATTAGTACAAAGTAGATATTGTGTCCAAGATTAAATATTTTCCTAAAAATAAAAAATTATGAATATATTTTAGTGCTACTGAAATTATGTAAGACATTAAAAGCAAGTGTTGAAGGATTCATAGTAATCTCGTAATATCTGTATTCCAGAAAAGCACCAGATTTTTCGCTGGAAGCATCAGTAGCTGAAGTGAAAAAATATATAACAAAGTAAGTGACCCTTTTTTCCATCAGGGAAATAACTGAACCTGGAGAAGATCCTGGTAAGCATGGTAGACAACACTGTGCATCAGGTTAGGAGCTGGAAGGCTTACGAACAACCCTGACAGACAGTTTCAGAGGGTGGAGTCTAGGGCAGAAGGGTGTTAATTTGATTTTAACTGCGTGTGTGTTACTTGATTCAACTAATATCCTCTGAATCAGTTGAGCTTTCTAATCCTTTAATGACCTTTTAATACATTTAAAACCAGATTATATGCCTAAAGTACTTATTGCTGCCCTGAGTGATTAAAAATGTGACCAAAGTTAACTGAATTTCCCTTCCCAAATTCCACAGGTTTTCTTTAGAACGCCAGGCTTGGGATCAGCTCTTACTCCAGTACCAAAAGGCGGTTCCACCTAAAGAGATGCCCAGGTTAGACCTGAGAACTGGAAAAGAGCAGCTGTCTTTTTACTTTGTGGAGTTTGATTTGCATTCATTTCAAATCCATTTGTGCAAACTGAGAGATGGATCTGTGTTCATAATTCAGTCAACTTTAAAATGTCTTATTTGTGCAAACTGAGAGATGGATCTGTGTTCATAATTCAGTCAACTTTAAAATGTCTTATTTATTTTCTTTGGTGGAAAAGGAGGGACAAAAACAGAAGACATAAGTATTGCTGTTTTCAGACCCTGAACAGAATTGCTTCTGTGCTGTGTTTTCAGCTACCATTCCCAGTGCACAGGGAGATGGGCACATAGCTGCCTTGCACTGATTCACCTGCCACTGTGCCAACAACGGTCTTCAAGAGACTTTCTTGAGCTGGAGATAGGCGAGAGTCCCTTGGTTAAGGCCTTAGTGAAAAACACAAAGCCATGAAGGAAATGGCATGGGAGGTATGAGATGTGAGAGGCAGTCTTTGGCTAGGGAAGTCAAGAAGGTGTGAAAGCACTAGATTTTGGGTTACTTCAGCGTTTGAACTAGTTTTGTTAATTTAACATACAGACAGCCCAAGGTGGCCTCAAATTCACAATTCTCCTGTCTCAGCTTCCCAATTGCTGGGATTCCAAGTGTGTAGTACCACAAACCTCTCAGCTAGTATTTGAAAGCTTTTTTCCCCCAACTAAATCTCACCTACAAAGCCAACTATAAAATGTTAGGTGAAACCCTAATTGCAGAGGTGATGTAAAGAGGCTTTGAGGAATATGGCTTTTGAGCGGGGTCAGGGTTTCCTTCTCAAATGCACTCTTATATTGCTTCCAAAAAATGGTTATAAATTCCAGGAAACCTCTTTTCTTTTGTTTTTAGGGGATCAACTGAAAGCGAAGTCACTGAGGTCAAAGTAGATCCTAGAACATATCATGGGTCTTCCCAGGAGGAAGTTCTGAACACAAAGCCAGACTACCAGAAAATAGTACAGAGTCAGAACCAAGTCTTTGCCTCTATGGAGTTGGTGGTAAGTTGCTTCAGGCTTCTTAGGTTGATTACCCAGTTTCTAGGCTTGTCATCTTTTTTAGTGTTACAACATTCTGACAGAATACCTGAAGTGACTTATAAGAAGGAATGTATTATTTGGGCTGCTAGCTTCTGTTGAACCCTATTGGTTTAGACCTGTAGCCATGCAGCAGGTCAGTGGGAACATGTGACGTGGCAGTGCCCCTCATGATGATGGGAAGGGAGGGAAGGAGAGGATCAGGTCCTAATAGTCACTTCAAGGTCACACTCCCACAAACCTAACTACTTCTAAATGTCCCATCACCTCCTCCTGGTAGTAACACTGAGTAGCAGCCTTTTAAAGCGTGAGCCTCAGGGGACCCTCCAAATGCAAGTTAAAGCATAATCTTTGGAAGTTAAAAGAGGATACCAACCTCTCTACCTTGGGAAAGCCAGAAATTTTTTAAGTAAATATATGGTGTTAAATACTAATAGAACAGTAAAAGGGAAGAGAATACAGGAGGAACAGTGGGCTCCTAGCTTCCAGTGGCTATTAGCTCCATTGGGGTTATGCTCAAATGAAACCTAGAGCACCTGACATCTTGGTGGTGGTTTGGGGGTCAGTCTCCTGGGGCATGGAGCAAACTGGAGAAATGTGAGGTATGGTTCAGTGGGTGCCCAGAGAGAATGTCTGGCATTAGCACACCAGGCTGGAAGAGCAGAGTCTACAGCTCTAAAGCAGGAGCTTGCCTGCCCTGCAGCTCACAGGGATCTTTCCTCTGCAGATGGATGAGCTGCAAGGATCAGTGAAGCAGCTACAGGCCTTCATGGATGAAAGTACTCAGTGCCTCCAGAAGGTGTCAGCACAGCTCAGTAAGTGCATCCCTTGAGGGGACCAGAGCTTAGGGGTGGCTGTATCTGATACCATTTGGGATACAAACTGCCTTTTCAGGCATAAGGTCTTTAGACTTAAACCAGATGACTTGTTTTGTTCCCATAGTAAGTAAAATGTTGATAGGAAATGCCTCAATGTATTCTCCATAGAAGCACTCCATGAAGATATACACTGTTTTTTTACTGCTTTAGTGTTCAAGAATACATGAAGTAAAACCGAAGACCCTCCCATAGTTTTTTCCTGGATTCCTCTAGCCATTTTCTTATTTATTACACCATACTGGCCTTCCTCCTGCACTGCCATATCCTTGAGGACAAGGGCTTTATTTATCATTAGTACCCTTCTGTCTGGCATACTACCACATGCAGTTTCCAGTACATTTTACGTGAATTTAATTGAAATGTATATTTTGGCTCCTTTCCTTTGCAGAGAAGAGAAGCACGGAAAAATTAGATTCTTCACCTGCTCGAAAACTGCTCAGACTCCACCTACAGAACTCATCGACCACACAATGATCAGGATCTTGTCAGGGACCTGACCTGTACCTGTAATTTCTGCTGTGAGCTGCCTAGGAGAGGACAGGGACAAGTGTCTCCACACAGGGTAATCGCACAGTGGTCAGAGCTGACTGACCCAGCTGCACAGCACTTTCACGGTTCTGAGCGACAGCATGTATGCATCCAGAAGAATGTGTTGGACACATGTTGTAGAAATGTGCAAGACGCTTGAAATGACCTTCAAAACCAGTGGCCCGTTGCTCAAAATATCCTTATGGCCAGCACTTTTCATTCCATGAAGATATTGTCCAGTTTTAAAGAGCAACCCAAAGACATTTAGAACCAACCTTAATGAAATGTTTTAGGGGCCAAGTTGGGTTCCTGCCATAAAAGAATGAAGCTGAAGTTGTTGAGCGTGGCACTCAGTGGAGGATAGGGTGTTATTACATAATGGGTGGATCTGAGTCACGTCACAAAATTTCCTTTTTCTGAAGTGTTCTGATGTCTGTAGTGTACTTTAGTTTTCAATATTGAATTGATCTCCTGAAATTAAATTCATGGCAAGAAAGGGCTGAGACTTTTTTTTTCCCGTTTGGGAATCCCCTGTGCCTCCCTAAGAGTGGAGCCCAAGGCTTTTCCTGTGCTAGCCAAGGAAAAGCCTCACTAAGCTGCATCTTTACGTTGTTTTAGTTACTGAATGGTGCCTGGAACATAGTCCTATAAGCTCTGTTTTAAAACCAAGGGGGAGCAGTTACTTAACCCCTCATCTACCGTATTGGAAAAATGGTAGAATTTGCAGTATAAGGACGCTGTAAGGATTTGTTTAAAAGCCTAGAACGATATTACCAGTGTGTCACTGAAGACTTAAAAAAATGAATAGATAGTAGAATAGTTAATGAGGTGGCAAAGCTAATTCCTAATTTGGAATACCACATTGAGAACTCAAGCAGACTGCTCTATATACAGATGGAGACCTATGTAGTAAAGTCTTTTAAATAAAATTTAAAAGCTATGCCTAGTTATTGAAGACTGAAGATGATGTTGTCCAAAGTAGAACAAGGAAGAAAAAACTTTAGGCAACCTCCATGAAGCCAGTATTTAAGAGTTAAAGATGGTATTACTTTTCTTTCAAGAGCAGTCTAATAAAGGTGATTGTGCCTTCCTCCATTTTATTACAGTCTATCACATTTGTTTATTTATAAGTGTTCAAAGGTGAAGATAGGAAATGTGTTTGGTATCTCAAGTTAAAAAGGACTAGAACTCTGCCCAACAGCTGGCCATAAGTCTCAGCATCTGCTTTGATAGTCTGCAGGGCAGAGCCTTTCAGAGGCCCTCTGTGGCAGGTTCCTAACTTGTTTCCTGTTTTCTTCTTTGATGTCCATCCTCTTTGCCTTTCAGGATGGGGATTGAGCATTTTAGTCAGAGTCCTCCCTCTTGATTAGTTTCTTTAGGTATACAGATTTTAGTAGGTTTATCCTATATTATATGTCTATATGAGTGAGTATATACTGTGTGTGTCTTTCTGCTTCTGGGACAGCTCACTCAGGATGATCCTTTCCAGTTCCTTGCAGACTATCAAAGCAGATGCTGAGACTTATGGCCAACTGTTGGGCAGAGTGCATGGAATCTTATGAAAGAAGTAGGAAATAGTAAGATCTGGAGAGGACAGAACTCCACAAGGAGAGCAACAGAACCAGAAAAATTGAACACAGGGTTCTTTCCAGAGACTCATACTCCAACCAAGTACCATGCATGGAAATAACCTAGAACCCCTGCACAGATGTAGCCCATGGCAGTTCAGTGTCCAAGTGGGTTCCATAGTAATGGGACTTCTGACATAAACTGATTGGCCTGCTCTTTGATCACCTCCCCCTAAGGGGGGGAACAGCCTTACCAGACCATAGAGGAAAACAATGCAGCCACTCCTGATGAGACCTGATAGACTAGGATCAGAAGGAAGGAGAGGGGGACCTCCCCTATCAGTGGACTTGGGGAGGGGCATGCGTGAAGAAAGGGGAGAGAAGGTGGGATTGGGAGGGGAGGAGGGAGAGGTTTAGGGGGGGATACAAAGTGAATGAAGTGTAATTAATAAAAGTTAAAAAAAAAAAAAAAAAGGACTAGAACATTAAAGAAAAAAAACAAAGCCCCGAAACTTAAATCTCAGCAGAAGGAAGAGAATAAGGAGCTGAAGGCTCTTCTGGGCTACAAAGCAAATTCTAGGTCAGTGAGCTGTGTTAAACCCTCTCAGTAACAGTTGTTGAGCTCCAGGCATTATTAGTGCTTATCATTATCACAGCTTTATGACAGAGGCTTTGTTTTTGGCATTTATAGAACATTGTAAATTTTTCCCAATTTAGCCAAGGATATATAGGTAGTGAGGGTGGCCTGGCACCAGTTCAGCACTTAGCAAATGTTAACAGTTAATAGAAACCATTTAATAAAAGGCTGTCAATACTAGTTTTGCCTTCATTCAGATTGGATTGGGAATAACCACATGGCCTGTTCGTTTGATTTTACACCGTAGCTTGAGAACCTTTGCCATAGAGTGCTGTTTTACCAGCTTGTTCCCTCATGGCTTGTTCCGTCTTCTGTGTTATACCGTCTAAGACCGCCTGCCCACAGTAAGCTGGGCCCTCCCACATGGGTCATTATCAAGAAAATCTACTACACAGTATATTTTGGTGGGAGCATTTTCTCAACTGAGATTCTTCCCAAATGACTCTACATCAAATTGGCATAAAAGTGGCCGGCATTTGCAGCCTACATGTTCATTTTGGTTCTGGTCTGGAGAGGTGGCTTAGTGTTGTAGAGCGTGTAGTGTTCTTGCAGAGGACTAGAAGCATCAAAGCCCCCATATCTCACAACATTGTGCAACTCCAGCTCTAGCGGGAGGGAATCAGCGATCTCTGGCCTAGCTGGGCACATGCTATAATTTAACCAAGAGGGAGAGGTAGGCGGGTGTGCAGACTGACCCTCTTCAAGGCAGTTATGAGCCAGAGCCTCCGAGACACCGCAAAAAGAAAAACTACAGTCAAGATGGCGCTGCTAGGCTCTCCAGGCCTGGCCGCCATCTTTTTTGTAGTTCCAGGCTAAACAGGCGCCTTGCGCATGCGTAACCCCCGGCATTCTCAGCGCGCGTGCGCAGCGCAGCGCCCCCGCCGCCCCCCCCCCCCCCGCCCCTTGTTCCTCCTGCCGCTGCTGCTGCAGCTGCTGTTGACTGACGGCCGGCGCTAGCGCTTCAGGTGAGTGAGCGCCTCTGCCTCAGCGGGCGGAGGGCGCGCGGCGCGCTACACCCGGGTGGCGCTCCCCTGCGCGCGGCGGGCCGACGGCCACACGGCAGGCCCCGGGTCCTCGCGGGCGGCCTTCTCCGAGCCCCCGGCGCCCTGCGCGTTCAGCCCGGCCTCCCGTGCCCCTGCCGGCACCTAGCCCTCAGGGGACTTGGTGTGCGCTGCTGGGGTCGAGCCTCGCTCTGGAGGCCTACACCCTCCATCGCAGGGACCCCTCCCGAGAGCGTCACCCTCTTTCCGTCCCCCGCGGCGGAGCTCGGAGCTCCTAATGCCGAGCATCCACCTACTCCGCTGCCCCTCACAGCCCGGAGAGTTTTGACAGGGGCCTGGACTCGCCTTCGGTGGGTTCCGTCCCAAAGCCACAGAGGTATCCCTCTCTCCTGGGACCCCACGACCCCAGTTTGCATGAAGCCCACTTTGTAGCCAAGGAAACTGAGGCAAGGAGAGGTGAAATGCCGTGTCCAAGGTCATGCGACTGACGAGTGACACGGCCAGCTCTCTAACTCAGGGGCGTCGGGACTTTCACGGACTGCGTTGGTGGGATTTGATTTTGTATCTTTAAATTTTTGGGAAATACACTTGTCATTTGTAGGATTGCTTTCGGACGTCGTAAAAGTGGGCTCCGAATAGAATTATCTTCTTGTCAGTATGGTGGAAGTGCTGTTGTGATAACAATCGGGATGTTAATGTGAGCTGGCTCTCTCCCAAACACTCGCTTCGTGCCAGAGATCCTGCTAAGCGTTTTATTAAGATCGTTTCACCTTTGGACCGCACTGCTTCTTCATCCTGTGCTTCCCCCTTCTTTTTCTTGAAGCCCTTCTTCTCTCCCCCTTCCTGCCCCCCCCGCCCCGGACAGAGCTCTCCTCCCTATCACAGGTAGACTTGGATCCTTTATGTTTTAAGCAGGGAGGCTCTCCCCGGGTGGCTCCCTGACAGAACACAGTAAGCTTTGCCTGCGTCAACACCCACTCTACCCCACCCCACCCCCCAGCCCCCAAGGTATAATTAGCCTTCCTTTTCTTGCTGCCAGGACTAGGCTAGCTGGCCTGGCTGGACTTGTGGAGGTGACAGAGCAGATTTATCCAGTACTCACCTCCTTTTGGGACTTTCTGGCTCTACTCCAAAGCTGGTCTTGAACATTTTCAGGCTTTAAGATAAAAACGGAAAGTGTTGACGCGGTGGAGCAGATTTAAGACACCTCCTTTGATTTGAGTTCCAAATGAACAGCTATAAAAATGTGTTGATTTTTGCCCCCAAAATAACTAGCTCAAACTGCCTTTTCCTCCCTTTGCAAATCCTCCTCCACACTTCAAAGGCTCCACAAAATTTTCAACTTCCTTGTAAAAGCCTTCCCTGCTTAATTTTTCCAACTAAAATTAAATAACACAACAGGCTACAGGTCCGTGTCTTATCCTCAGTGCTATTATCCTCTTGAGATCAGACACCATCTTTGCACCCCCAAATGCCTGGCTCTTAGTATTGGTAAATACCGAATTTCCACTGTTGCTTGTTATTTCTCAGAGGGTGAGAAATAACCCTTCTGTTCGTCGTCTTGCTCTCCAGTTTCTCTTTGCTGTTCTTTCCTTTAGGTCTATCTTCTGATTATCCCCACTCAGCCTTGGTCTACCCTTTTGTTTTTGAAAGTTTGCAGATAATCTAGAAGTCTGCCCAGAAGTGGAGCTGGTGTATGCTTCTTTAGCCTACAGGGAAATTTTTATTTTTATGTGGCAGTAGGAGTGCCTGAGGCTTATGACATTTTAGTCTGTGCTGAAGTTCGTCCGAGATATGTTCCTTCATTCTTTTACTTTCTGTAGCTTATTACCCTAGGTGACATCAGAACCAGCATAGTTTTTATTGTATCTCAATACTTGGTATTTATAATAAAAATTCATGATATTCAGAAGGGCCTCTTGGGAACATCAGGTATGCGCATAGGTTTTTTTCATAAATGAAGCTGCTACCGTTTGGTTTGGTTTTTAGATTTGTTTCTCTGTTTGTGAGGGTGCCTGTGCCTGTGCCTATGCATGTGTTAGGGCACTTGTGGAGGTCAGAGGACAATTTTGGAGAGTCTACTCTGTGGGCCCTGGGGATTAATCCTCAGGTTATCAGGACTGGGGTAAAGTGACTTTACCAGCTGAGCCATTTGCCAGTAAAATTATTATTATTATTATTTTTAAGCAGAGCCTCACTTTGTAGGCTAGTCTATCCTAAAACTCATGATTTTTGTTTTGTTTTTTGTTTTTTTGAGACAGGGTGTCTCTGTGTAAGAGAGCCCTGGCTA